GTTCTGGGACCTGCAGATTACGGTAGGTATACAGTAAGGAATCGAAATCGCAAATCTGCCTGGAATTTTGTGCAGGAGGGTTATCTGACATGCTCATTTCGCATATCGCGCTCATTTCGCATGATAGAGCTTTTTATGGTTTTGGGATCTAAACTGTCCTGAGAAGGAGAATGGTGCTTACGTCTACGCTGTTAATTACTATAACTCCTCAATAAGGCGTTATTGAAGCGAGTAAGTATGATATTAGTAATCAGCGTGCTTAAAAACTCCTCCAGGCCAAATCTCTAAACCAGATTCAAGCAAAATCTAGGACTTTGACCCTCTACCGTTCCACCAAATACATACAAGGAGAAGTTTTTGTGCGGAAAAAGTATGCTATTCAATCAGCGTGTCGAGTAACCCGCCTGTGCAGAATTTCAGCAAGATGTGAGATTTTGACCTCATACCGTATGCCTACCGTGGCCGCTCAAAAAAGCCGTAACATGTGAAATGGATATCATTTTCGTGATCAGCGTGCCAAATAACTCCTCCCCCCTCCCCTCTGCATAGTTTCAGCGAAATCCGAGATTTTTCATTTTCGGGATGCGTTTGCTAAATCTTCCCCAACCCCCTTTGAATTGCGTCGTCTTTGGAACGGATGGTACAGCATGTCAAATAGCGCCCAATTTAACCCCATTTGAAATTTGTAGTGTTCCTTTTGGAATTATCGAGTGTGTGGGTCGCAATTGAAATAGTCTTTTTGTACATTCTGCTCCATTATCACTAATGCCTTTCAGGAGGCATCACTCGGAGAAATAAAAAAGGCGTACCGAAGACTCAGCCTCGAATGGCATCCGGACAGAAATTCAGCACCGGAAGCCACTCAGAAGTTCAGGCAGGTGAGGTCTTACCTTATCTCACTTATTGTTAGTTGTCACACCTATGGTGTTGCTTCACAGCTTTTATAGTTTCGAAAGATAACTTTTCGGAGGTTTTTTGCACTTCTTACGAAATGTCTAGACTTTCTTTTTCTTTCATTGTCTCTCATTTTCTCTTCTTCTAGTAACAGTCAGCAAAAGTGGTAATTTTTTGTTCAGCGAACAAATTCGTTAAGGGATCGCGACGTCTTTTCAAACAGTTTCTAACACTTGAAATATCTGAATGGTGTAAATTCGAGGATGGATATGCTCCATTCTTTTGGTCTTCTGTCAGTCTCCAGGCTTTTGCAGCTAAAGTGTTATTCTTTCTTACAAAGCGAATTTGAATCCTATAACACATGGTTCGTGGAATCGTTATTGAACAACACCGTTTACTTAGCTGATACTGTGTTTGCTCTCAGTTGCTCTTGTCCTATGTCAATTTCGCTTTCTTTCGTGTCTGTAGCGAATGTTTCTTCTCAGTTTTTTCCATCTTTCTCTCTGCTTGTTGTGTATGTTCGTTGTCATACCACGTAATTTGGAGAATCTTTCCTCTCAAACTTAAGGGAAAGTGAGAACTGTCAGTAACTTACTAATGACCATGAATACGAAGACTTTTAGTCACATAAGCGGGAGTGAATTCTAAGGTCATAATGCAATGCGTACTGGACTGCTACGATGTTGTCATCCGACTAATATTTTCATTTTGCTGTCTGCTTGCTTTTATCTAGTATTTGGGGCTAAATTTTCTATATAGCATTTTTTTCAGATAGTTTCGATATACGAGGTTTTGAAGTCGAACGAGCTAAGGGAAAAGTACAACAATGTTTTGGAGTTCGGCTTGCCCGATTGGCGACAGCCGATCTTCTACTACAGGTACGGGAATCAATTTAGACTTATTTATCACCTTAATCTTATCTTGTGTAGAAAAATGCGTAAGCTGGCCTGGTATGAAGCCGTCATTGTTCTTATCGCTGTATCTACTATTGCTCATTATCTGATGATGTGGGCTGCTTATTATGAGAAGTATTTAGTGTTGAAGCAGGTAATGTGTGTGATGTTTATATAGAGCAATGCATTTTCCATTTTGCTGTTTAGAGCTTGAAAAAATCGCGAAAGCGTGAAAAGAAAGGTGAAACCGAAGGTAACATAACACAGTTGCACGAAGCTCTAGAAGTATTCCGACCACGGTTCCGTGATTTGTTACCATTCCTAATGGCAAAGGGTTCATGGAATCTCTTGAAGGTACACTCATGAGCTTTTCGATTCACACAGATTATTCGAAACGATTACCTTCAATTTTCTGAATGTGACGGAACTCTTTTTAGTTTGCCATTTTTACTGCACAAGAACAGCTAAAACGAAAGGAGCCAGAAGAAGAAGTAAGTCCTTTGCTGTACACCTTTCTCGCATTTCGATATATTTATGACTAATTTTTACAAACTTCAAAGAATAAATGCTTTCTTAGGGCAAGATACATGGTCCGTGGCTTTTTGAAATGAGGTGTATACCATAAGATGCACCTCGAAATGCTGATTCTAAAT